CTCGGAGGTGACGGTACTCTAATGGAAAAAGGCCAAGCACAGCGAGATGCGTTTCATAGCTCACGGATTAAAGCTCGGCAACCAATTTTGTAGCAGCGGGCTAGAAGGCTCTGCGAGGGCTACGTCCTCATTACGTCCTAGGTAAACAACTTGGCGGGCATATTCCAGAGGCGTTCTGACGTGACCACCGTAGAGTATTTGGAAGTCCGTGCGAGTAACACTGGAGAAAGTGTGCCGAATCACCCGTAGAACTGCTTATGCCTTTTGAGTCGAGTTTTCATGGTGCGGTAGGAAGCATATATTCGCAGAAAGTCATGTATCTAAATATTTTAGCATCTACCCTAGTGATCGCCTCTGGTTCATTTTTGCCACGCACGATAAGGAGTTCGCCGAGTCTCCTCAGAATGGCTTACGGACGCACTCTTAGTCAGTAAGAGTAATGTGCTAGTCCAACGACCCCTGCATCGCAGCGTTTACATCCGTTTGGAGGGCACTGGTATTGGAACTTCAAGATTTCAATTCGTCCGTAAAACGTGGACATGGACTTGGAGAAGCGTCTGAAACGTCGTTGACGTAGATCAGAAAGAGAATTTCTATCAAAACGGAACCTTGTGGAACTCATATAAAGACCGGCGCCGGTGAAGAGTAGGTGGAGCCTGCACTCATTCGGAATTTTTTATAAGAGCTGCTCAATCTGGCGCAGAATGTCCCTTTGAATTCTGTAAAACTACAGGTTGGGGAGTAGCCTGATGTGTGAGACTTGATCGAATGTTTTTGAAAAATAAAAAATATGGCACCCGTCATCCTTAGCCTTGGTCCAGGAATACAGGCATGTTTGTGGCGCAAGAACGGTTTGGGAGGAATCCATGATAACCTGGAGATGTCCGTTTGTTGGTAGTGAGCAATCTCGTATAACGTGCTGTAGAATATGTTCCATCACCTTGCACGGTACGCTATTCAAGCTAATTGATCCGTAGTTGCCGGGCGATAATCGGTCACCAGTTTTGTAAACTGGCGTGAGAGGCTGGAGAGCGAGGCCATTCGCAACCTGGATACGGAAAATTCCTCTATGTTTGCGGCAGGCGTCCCGCCAAAGTCAAGAAATTCGTCACAGCTAGCAAGTTTTTATGACGGTCAGCATACGTTAGATATGGCTTAAGGCAAGGTTTGACTTCACCGATATACCGAGCCACCAGTAGTGCGGTTGGGTCGGATTTGTGAGCAGAACAAGCAGACGACACGATAAGATGGTCACTGCTTTTAAGTCCTTGCACAAATTAAACGAACTGAAACGGTCTTGTAGGTAACGCAATTGTCTGGGAAATATTAGAGATATAGTGAAATACGGGCAAGCCATCAGACTGGGTATGGTAGTCGCGGTACCGTCATCGCTACGCCGTACTTCATTCCGTGGATGGCGCCTTACATGAACATGTTGGATAAGCTGTTTATGGTTGTCATTGTAGTTGGGATAATCTTGGGTCTGTCAAGGGTTTGTGGTGGTTCATCGCTGCCAAGCGAGGTACTAAGACAGCCATGCATATATTTTGGACTCAAAATAGGATAAATATCTGAAAGTTTTCCTAGAAAGCATTTTGATGTAAGTAAGAATGCCTTCCGAAAAAACAGACGGTCCAAGGTTATCATAATTCCCAAATACTTCACTGGCCTAGCAGTTTTAAAAAGTAGTCAAGGTAGGCGAAACTGCTTGCAGTTGTGAGTGTGATGTCTTTCGTTCACCATTAGATTAGGTATGTATGCATAGTTTGGGCCTCGTAATCATCGGTTCGTATAAATACTGGCCCGTTGTTTATCTTAGTAGCATGGATAAGCAACAACGCGTAAAGTTACGAGTACAACGATTAAGTTGGATTGAGTTACCGGTTAATAAACGCCGCAAATGGACACGGAACTAGCAGGTTCGATAAGTAGCCCGGTTAGGCGACATCGAGTAAAGCAGTGGACATGATAGGCCATCAGATTAGGCTATCACGTATAGTTAGGGCCTCGATTTTACAGGCTTGTATGGATGCTGGCATGGTGTTTATTATAGGTAGCATAGATAAGCGCTATCGCGTGTGGTTATGAGTAAGAAAGACCGTCTTCTGTCATGGGATTATGTTACTGTGCCCAGATAAGGTCTCAAAATGAGCGTCGCGCGTAGACCCTGGCCTAGCATTTACAGTAATTATTCGTGCTGAGTGACAACGCGCCGAGATATGAGTATAAGGGGCCGTCGTTGATCACTGTATTAGGCTGCCGTGCTTAGGTGTGGCCCCATAATCAGCGCCGCACATAAACGCGGATCCAGCAGTTACGATAAGTGGTCGAGGTGGGTGACAACGGCTACCGTTATAATGGTGACAGCTTAATGACGATTAAAATCAAATTTGTTGAATCTGCGGAGTGTAAAGCAAACAAACATCAAAACGGTCTTCTGGAGTGCAATTTGCATTAGATATTCTTTGGATGTTTTTTATCCCTAAGTAACACCGAAGAACGCCAAAATACGCTTGAGTGCGATTTCGTGTTTTATGTCGCGTAAACCGGTAAGAAAATGCAAATCGGTGAAGGTCCGTGGCCTTGGAATTTCGGTCACTTAAACACAATCCTACGGGCAGCTTGTGACCAGAAGGTGCAAATCGATTAGACTAGCTTCCTGTTAAAGTCACAACTTCGAATACCCCATAATTTTGGTGAAACTAATATGGGTGCGCAAGCAGCCAGCGGCGTCTCCGTACGTCTGATCCAGCCCAGTTCAGAAGTTGTGACTCATGTGCAGAGTTTACCGCTGCGCGTTTATCGTCTGTTACAGAAATAAACGATAATAATAATTCTTGTTCCCAACTTGTGGGTGGCATACCGTTGAGCATGATTTTTATGTTGCAGTCAGAATACAAGCATCAGTGGGGGGGTTGTGGGCATGGGGTAGGGTTAGGGGTAGAAAAAGAAGAGCTTCACAGGGAGTGGGTATTACCCGATGTCAGCACGGTCACCACTAAACCGGCATGGGCAGGGAAGCACAGTTAATTTATGTTTTTATAGATAATGTCGAGCAAGATCGGATCGTTAGGATTTGAAGACGGTGGGCAAAAAACAAAGCGAGGGTGGTCAAAACAAGTTGAAGGTGGCGGGCTAGACATGAGGCCCCCTACCTGAACATGCAAAGAAAAGTGTAGGGGTGAAAAATGAGGAACCAGAACATCAGATCTGGTGAGGCAGCAGAGAATGCGTCATCTAACCAGTCACCGTGAATTAAAACACAAAGCCACAAGAGTGACCTCGTGGCCTTGGGCAATTGGGCTACATCAGATCTGGTGAGGCAGCAGAGAATGTGTCATCTAATCAGTCACAGTGAATTAAAACACAAAGCCACAACAGTGACCTCGTGGCCTTGGGCTATTGGGCCCACGGCCAGGTTCATAAAATACGCAAGTGTGGGTGATGAAGTGGAGGGATTAACAAAGTCGATAAGTGATAGCAGGAATCTCGGAAGCATGGCGTACAGTGAAACAGAGACTCACTGGTGTCGCTGCTGGAGAGTTGGGCAGTAGTAGTATTAGTTCCTTGGAAGAGTGAGATGATGGCAACACACGAGCCGGACCACCAACTGCACAGAAAGACGCTGAATTTCGCGGGAAGCATATACACACAGAAACGGTTAAATTTGAGGCAAGGTTCAGCAGACTGGAATGAATATGTCATGGAGGCAGTTTGGGTCATCCGGGGAGCTCGTTCGTATCTGCTGTTTATGGAAGGAGTGGGCTAGATAGTACGGTCGAAGAGAAGGAGGGGAATAGTTTAGGGCGTCCTATCAAACTGGGTATGGTAGTGCCATGCGATCATTGGCCTGACTTACTTCGGTTTTTGGACATTCTCGTCAGATCTAAGATTATTGGGCTGGGATGTGCCATTCCTTGAACAGCGGGATTATTTTCAGGCCGGCCAAGGAAGCAAGGTAGAATGAAGCCTGTATGGGATCGCAGGTGTTTTGTACGCTTCGGGATCCTGTGGAAGTAGGTCATAGGTCAGGTGGAGTGGGTAACAGCCATCCAGGTCGTCCAAGCTGATTATTTTCGAACTTCAGAGCTTGAGAAGATGCGGGGGTGGGATGAGATCAGTAAAGGGTGGTGAGTTTGAGGTGTGCATTAATATAATTAGAAAGAAAAACTAGACCGCCATGGCGATTAGGGTGATGGCAACAACTGGTTATATGAGATGGGGTAGGGATAGATTTGCACGTAGTAAACCAGCGACCAAACATGGTGTTTGCTAACATACGATGTTAAAGTACAGGGGATCTAGTAAAAGCCTATATGAGCACGCAGAGTGGTGATGTGATTGAAGGAATCAGATGCTTAAGGGATGATGGAAGTGAACATCAGCGACGACTGTTTAATCTGATATCTATTACATGAGATGGACAATACCAGGAGAGTAAGCGCAAAAGAAATAGTCGCCAGTCCCCGAAGCACTGCTATCAGCTTCAAGTTAACAAGCGGTTCATGGTGGATATTACGTATTCGGGCACTAGTTTCGCAAGCTGGTAACGGGGGGGGCAGGAAGCTCTGTATACATATATTTCTCACTGTGCATGTTCACACTATGTACGTTGACCGATTCTTCCACGCGGGGCTTGCTTCCTCACGGGTGCCTTTGCCTGCAATAGTCGAATGGTATGTGAACGTTGAGTGGAAACTGTGATCCGGAGTCGCATTTGGTTGTGTCGGCGTCCCTTCAGGAGCACAGGGGACCATAAGTACCATCGGTTTTGCTATACGTTTGGGATCGGCTCAGCTGGTGCTTAGTGGAAACCTGTTTCGCACCTCTGTCCTAGAACAGCTGCGGCCCAGCTTTAGCACCTCCAGGGGGCGATTCTCGGATGCATGCTTGATCATTGGCGCGGTCTGCTCCAGGATCTCATTTACGGCAGATACGGAATAAAGAGTGATCAGAGCCAAAGTGTTCGCTAGCCTTTTTTTCTCGCGTGACCTCTCTAGGTGAACCGATCCGTGATATGGCTTAGCGAGGAACCGCCAACTAGCGACGGTGCCAATTTCGGTGGCGTGATATTTCTGCAGAACGAACAACAGATGATCAGTCTTCTAGCGCACATGCGCCCATCCACTAGAGAAGCCATGGTGGCCTTCATTACCGCTTCAGGTTGCTGGATGACCTTCGTAGCCAACGGACTCTTGATGGAGAGCGTTGGGTTCTCGTTCAGGGAAGAAAAGTTATCATCGACTTCCACCCAGGTAGCTGTGTTTTATGTGTTTGTGTCCTCAAGAGCTTTGTAAAGAAGCGCCAGTTTTGGGACGTAGATCCTAATTAAAACGGAACATTCACACTGGTCTTTCCAATTCAGCAGTGATGGCTTTTTCGTTTTTCGTAGCTCTATTTTTTGTTACAAAATTCATCGCATTCTTAGGGTAGAGGCAGCTAGAGCAGACAAACGGCTCAGGAGAGCTAAGTAATTGGTTTATCTGGTCGTCATCTATGCCTGGACGTTTAAAATGCAACCAGGTCTTTCAGATGTGACATCGCATACCATGTCTTACATCGAATGGAAACCCGTTTTACACGCAGTTGTTATGGTTCACGAATAACTGTACAGGGAAGCCCGTATTGATGCGCCTAGTGATTGAGACTGGGTGCACCGCATGAATCGAGTGCAATCTGGCAGAGTTTATCACGCAAAGGTCATGTCAGAGTGGAAAATTCAACACATATGTGGATTGAAGAGCGAGAGTTTTCTTTCACGAATTTTCACGAGTGAAAAAAGAAACAATTTTAAACGCGACGCGCCCACCTTTTGTATCTCCTACTACTTCCAAGTTCTAGCTGTGCACACCTAATCTCCTGGATCATCGGAAATAAAACTGTTCGTAATAAAGTCAGTGCCTCATTTCAGTTCCAAATTCAGACCTTCCAATCGGGTTTCTCTTCGGAAGAGCCTCCAAGTATGCACGAAGTGTAGTAAACGCCCAAATCTATGTCAAAAATCCATATCAAATCCATATCATTATAACGTGTGCTTTATGAAGTGTATGAGGCGGCAACGTTCTGAGAACTGCGTTTTCTGGTTGCGCCACTGACCATTGGAACTCAGGTAATTCTGTATCGTGATTAGCTGTTGGGTCCAAGTTTTAGGCCAATCAGAACTTGAATTGGTGCGATACTTGCGAGCCAATCGCATCCGGCTCAATCCTATTGGCGCAGCGCGTACAATTTCGGGCGGCAGAGCGGTTTGGTGCGGGATTACGCGTGTATAGAGTTCGTATCATTTCGGTCGATATATATGTAAGTATTTGTGATGTGCAACCTTGCTTACCGGGTTCCGGCTCGTGAGATTTTTTTCTCTTTCTGGCCCACCCAGCGTCCTCGTCACATCCACTCTTGTCAAGGCGAAACTACGAACAGCCTCTAACCGACTTTGTCTTCACGGTAAAGGACATTCGTCAACTCTTGCACAAGATCAACCCATTCTGCGCGTTGGGGCCCAACGAGGTCCATCCAAGGATCCTGAAGGAAACATCCTCCACACTGGCAAACCATTTACACATGGTGTTTCGTCGGTCGCCTGACGAAGGCCGCCTTCCCTCTGCTTGGAAGGAAGCGATTGTCACACCAATCTACAAAACTGGTGACCGACTATCGCCTGGCAGTCATAGGCCTATAAGCCTCACTAGCGTGCCGTGCAAGGTGATGGAACGCATTCTGAAGCGAGCTGTCCTAGATCACCAG